ATCTCATCCGTCGGGATGCGGAATTAATTCACAATTTCCTAGCATGTTCCGCGGTCCGTAACGTTAACACCCCACGCGCGTGCAGCCTTAAAATATAAATTATATATAATAGGCGACGTTTCATTAAATACATATGAAGGGACATTGCCCAAAACGTCGCCCATAATTTATTCATTTGTGCCCACATATCCTCGATGAAGAGAAGCATTGTAGATAGGCAAGCCACAAGAGTCTGACCGTGGCGATGCAACACCGACCCACAGATCGCATAGCAAACCCACAGAGACCCAAAGAGAGATACACAGAGACACACAGAGAGATAGAAACCAATACAGAGATACACAGAGACCCAAAGAGAGATACACAGAGACACAGAGAGATAGAAACCAATAGAGAGATACATAGAGACCCAAAGAGAGATACGTAGAGACACACAAGAGACTCATAGAGATTTACAGACACAGAGACAGAAAGACTCACAGAGAGATACACAGAGACCCGTAGAGACATACATTGAGACACAGATACTCACAGAGGCACATATACATTAATGTACAGTATATACATATAGACCCATAGAAACAATTTAAGACATAAACCACAGTGGTGTGACTGTGGTCATGCAACTCACACTATGGACTACATAGTAAACCTATAGAGACTCGCAAAGATACATAGAGACAAATAGAGATACGTAGAGACTCACAGAGAGATATATAGAGACATATAGAGATACATAGAGACCCATAGAGATACCACAGAGACTCATAGATACCCCATTGAAGACAATCCACAGTGGTGCGGCTGTGGTCTTGCAACTCAAGCGATGTACCGCACAGGATAACCAGAGACTCAGAGGGATACACAGAGACTCATAGAGATATGTAGAGATCCATAGAGATGCATTAAATAAAATACACAGAAGGGTGACCATAGCCATGCAAACCACGCTATGGACCGTACACAACCCATAGAGACGCACAGAGACCCACAGAGACTCACAGAGATACATAGAGACCCATAGAGATACATTAAGTACAAGTCACGGTGATACGAGTGTGGCCATGTAACCCCATTGCTACGCAGCGCACGGGTGAACCCACTATAGCCTGCGCTGCCTCAACGATGGAGAAGGAGCACCAGCAGCAGAGCAACCCGAACTCCTCTTCGTCTCTCTGATGAAGCCCTCTCTCTCATCGTGGCAGCAGTAGCAGCAGCAGCGAGGTGTCCAGGAGCTCCACGCCACCACCATCGTGTTGCCCACGGAGCTGAGAGTGGCAGCGCGTCGACTTGCCGCTCTGCTCGTGCGCCACTGGCGGCTGGCGAGCTCGCTCAGTGCTCGTGGTGAACACGTCAAGAAGTGATGAACACGTCAAGAAGTGATGAACCTGTCAAGAAGTGATGAACACGTCAAGAAGTGGTGAACACGTCAAGAAGTGGTGAACACGTCAAGAAGTGGTGAACACGTCAAGAAGTGGTGAACACGTCAAGAAGTGGTGAACACGTCAAGAAGTGATGAACACGTCAAGTGGTGAACACGTCAAGAAGTGGTGAACACGTCAAGAAGTGGTGAACACGTCAAGAAGTGGTGAACACGTCAAGAAGTGAACACGTCAAGAAGTGGTGAACACGTCAAGAAGTGATGAACACGTCAAGAAGTGAACACGTCAAGAAGTGGTGAACACGTCAAGAAGTGGTGAACACGTCAAGAAGTGATGAACACGTCAAGAAGTGGTGAACACGTCAAGAAGTGATGAACACGTCAAGAAGTGAACACGTCAAGAAGTGGTGAACACGTCAAGAAGAGGTGAACACGTCAAGAAGTGGTGAACACGTCAAGAAGTGGTGAACACGTCAAGAAGTGGTGAACACGTCAAGAAGTGATGAACCTGTCAAGAAGTGATGAACACGTCAAGAAGTGGTGAACACGTCAAGAAGTGGTGAACACGTCAAGAAGAGGTGAACACGTCAAGAAGTGGTGAACACGTCAAGAAGTGGTGAACACGTCAAGAAGTGGTGAACACGTCAAGAAGTGGTGAACACGTCAAGAAGTGATGAACACGTCAAGAAGTGGTGAACACGTCAAGAAGTGGTGAACACGTCAAGAAGAGGTGAACACGTCAAGAAGTGGTGAACACGTCAAGAAGTGGTGAACACGTCAAGAAGTGGTGAACACGTCAAGAAGTGAACACGTCAAGAAGTGGTGAACACGTCAAGAAGTGGTGAACACGTCAAGAAGTGGTGAACACGTCAAGAAGTGGTGAACACGTCAAGAAGTGATGAACCTGTCAAGAAGTGATGAACACGTCAAGAAGTGGTGAACACGTCAAGAAGTGGTGAACACGTCAAGTGGTGAACACGTCAAGAAGTGGTGAACACGTCAAGAAGTGGTGAACACGTCAAGTGATGAACACGTCAAGAAGTGGTGAACACGTCAAGTGGTGAACACGTCAAGTGGTGAACACGTCAAGAAGTGGTGAACACGTCAAGAAGTGAACACGTCAAGAAGTGGTGAACACGTCAAGAAGTGGTGAACACGTCAAGTGGTGAACACGTCAAGAAGTGGTGAACACGTCAAGAAGTGGTGAACACGTCAAGAAGTTGCGCACTGCGCGCGTCAGATGATCGGCAAGACGAGTCTCGTGCGACGCAACAGGCGCGCACGAGACGTCTCGAATAGACTCAACAACAACAAAGACCCCCCGTGTAGCCTTAACAGACTGTTGGGGCAAGTGCTATCAGCGAGCACCTATGAAAGCTGACACGGCACACGAGGGGGTGGGTGGCCAGAACCACGCCCGGCCGCCTTTGTCTCCCGAGTGGCGATGATTATACGCACCACACCACGTGCTCATTTTAGGCTGCGGCGACCTAGCGGAGGCCCAGGGCCGGTTCAGATAATCGTCGCCGGTGTTGACCGTGAGTGGGAATAGAACTCGGGTCACCAGGTTCGTAGCGCAGCGTAGCGCTAACAACTTCTACCGCTCCCCATCAACAACAACACACACAGACATGCAAATAGCTCCTCCCAGCCTTGTCCAGACCATCAGCGCGACAAAACTGAACGCACGTTCTTGGCCCATAGCGCCGACAGCGTCTGCCACATAGCCGGGTTCGGGACGACACTGCCACGGGCAGCACTGGGCACCTACCGGGTGCATCGTACAACAGGAGAAGAAACGACAAAAACAACAACAACCCATCGGGCAGTTCCTGAAAAAGTGCACACTCCGCCGCCTCTTGCCTGAGGTCATCGTCGCAATGAATCCGACACTGACCGACAGCAGCAGCAGCGACGGCGGCGATGATGATGCAGTGACAGACAAATTGTAGGCGTGCCACTGTGGCGAGGAGATGTTGACTACCTCGTCTGGTATACAGGAGGTCGTGGGTTCGATCCCGACCCCGATGCCTGCTGTATATTTGGAGTTTCCGTGTTTCTCTCATCATCATCACGGTGACTAGGAGATGTTAACTACCTCGCCTGGTATAAGGTCGTGGGTTCGATCCCGACCCTGACACCTGCTGTATATGTTTCCCTCCCACATTTAGAATGAGCATCATGCATTCAGAGTATCTGGCTGCTATAAATATACCACGTGATGATGATGAATAAGCCGCCACTCCGTGGTAGCCAGGTCGCTTCTGAGAAAGAGCAACGCAGCTCGGCGCGGGGCCCTTCGCCGGTGGATTTAAAATAGATTTTTAGTTTTTTGCGGACCGGTATAATTCTTATTAGGGCTCATCAGCAAAGCTTAGCCACCAACTCACTGCAGCGAAGACCACCGTGTGTGTGGAGTCTCCTACTACGGGTGGGCGTTTTCGTCGTTTGCATATTTACATTGTCCGGATTCATTACCAATAATTGTTACATCACACAGTAAAAAGGCAAAGATCACCCCTTGTAGCCTTAACAGACTGTAGGGGCAAGTGCTGTTACCGAGTAGCACCTATGAAGGTCGGAACGGCACACGAGGGGATGGGTGGCCAGCACCACGCCCGACCGCCTTTGTCTCCCCAGTGGCAATTTTTGCACACCGCAGCAGGTACTCATTTGAGGCTGAGTCGACTTAAGCGGAGGCCCAGGACCGGTTCAGATAATTGTCCCTGGTGGTGGCCGTGAGCACGGGAATCGAACTCGGGTCACCGGGACAATAGATACAAACAGACACACACAGATACATACAGACACACACACATAGATACAAACAGACACACACACATAGATACAGACACACACATAGATACATACAGATACACATAGATACAAACAGACACACACACATAGATACAGACACACACAGACACATACAGACACATACATACAGATACACATAGATACATACAGATACACACACATAGATACACACACATAGATACACACACATAGATACACACACATAGATACAAACAGACACACACATAGATACAGACAAAGATAAAGATCCCCCATATAGCCTTAACAGACTGTAGGGGCAAGTACTGTTAGCGAGCGCCTATGAAGGCCGGAACGGTACACGAGGGGGTGGGTGGCCAGCACCACGCCTGACCGCCTTTGTCTCCCTAGTGGCAATGCTTACACACCGCACCAGGTACTCATTTGAGGCTGAGTCGACCTAGGGGAGGACCGGGACCGATTCAGATAATCGTCACTGGTGTTGGCCGTGAGCGGGAATCGAACCCGGGTCGCCAGGTTCATAGCGCAGCGCGCTAACCGCTACACTATCGCGCCCCACAAGATACAGACACACACACACACATAGATACAGACACACACAGATACATACAGACACACACACATAGCTACAAACAGAAACACACAGATACATACAGACACACACAGATACATACAGACACACACATAGATACACACACAGATACATAGAGACACACAGATACAAACAGACACACACACATAGATACAGACACACACACATAGATACAGACACACACATAGATACACACACATAGATACACACACATAGATACAGACACACAGATACATACAAACACAGATACATACAGACAATCACAGATACAAACAGACACATATACATACAGACACACACACAGATACAGACACACACACATGCCTCAAACTTTGCATGAACCAACTAAAACGGCGTCCGCGTCCCACTGTGTGCGTTCACCAATCATCAGGCGCGTGCGGCGCGCAATGGCGAGGCCCCGGCAGCGCTGCCGCGAGAGACGCTGAGCGGCCGAGACCGGCGACAGAGCCACAGCGCTCAGTGCCCCCCGCCACTGATGGGATGGCTGCCAGATGGATACGGGCTGGGGGCGGGGGGGGGCTCGGTGTCTGAGTGTCGTTATTCAGAGCCCACGGAGGGACGCGCGAGCGATGACTTGGTCCATGCGTCGCACTGCGCGGTAACCGCCGTGGTAACCGCTGTGGTAACCGCCGTGGTAACTGCGGGGCGCCATGCCATGTGTACGGCAGATGCTGGGCGCAGCTTCAAGCAAAACGTCGCCAATCGATGATCACTCCAGCTAGTCCGCGGTGAGCGAGTCGGTGAGCGAGCGGGTGAATGGGCGGGTGAGTGGGTGAGGGAGCGGGTGAATGGATGAGTGAGTGGATGAGCAGGTGAGTGGGTGGTTGAGTGAGTTGGTGAGTGATGTGTTGAGTTTATATGAAACGGTGAGTCGGGTGCTGATGGTGAGTAGGGTGCCATTGGTGAGTAGCTGCCAGTGAGTGGCTGGCGGTGAGTAGGTAGTGGTGAGCAGGGCTCCGGCGGTGAGTAGCTGGCAGTGAGCAGGGCAGTGCCGTTGGTGAGTCGCTGGTGGTGAGCAGGGCGCCGGAAGTGAGTCGGGGGCCGGCGGTGAGTAGCAGGTGGTGAGCAGGGCGGTGCCGTTGGTGAGGAGTTGGCGGTGAGTACTTGGTGGTGAGCAGGGTCACCCGACTGCGTGCAGGGCTGTGCTGGTGAGCGCCAGCGTGGTGAGCAGCGTGCTGGCCCACACGCCGGGCCGGGCCGCTCCACCGCACTCGGCCGCATCCTCCTGGGGGGCATGGGGGCAGTGTTAGGGCATGGGTAGCATGGGGTGGCATGGGGTGGCATGGGGTGGCATGGGTGGCATGGGTGGCATGGGGGGCATTCGGTGGCATAGGTGGCATGAGTGGCATGGGGGCATGGGGTGGCATGGGGGCATGGGTGGCATGGGTGGCATGGGGTGGCATGGGGGGCATATGGGGCATGGGGGCATGTGGGGGATGGGGGCATGGGGGGCATGGGGCAGTGTTAGGGTATGGGTGGTATGGGGTAGCATGGGGGACAGGGATAGAGTATGGGTGGCAGGGTGGTGGAGCACACCTATCGCGAGTTGGGTTCGACTCCTGACGAGGTTGCCACCCTGTGTGGAGTTGGCATGGATCTGTCCCCTGTTCTGCAGAGTGTGAGTGAGTGAATGAGTGAGCAAGTGAGAGAAAGAATGAGTGAGTGAGCATGATTGAGTGAGTGAGTGAATGAGTGAGAGAGTAAATGAGTGTGCTTAGTGAGTGAGAGAGTGGATGAGTGAGTGAGAGACTTAGTGAGAGAGTGAATCGGTGAGTGAGAGAGTGAATGAGTGAGTGAGAGAGTGAATGAGTGAGTGAATGAGTGAGTGAGAGAGTGAATGAGAGAGTGAATGGGTGAGTGAGAGAGTGAATGAGTGAGTGAGAGAGTGAATGAGTGAGTGAATGAGTGAGTGAGAGAGTGAATGAGTGAGTGAGCGACCTCCGAGTGGAAGGCGTAGCATTGGTCCGGCCTCCGTCTCAGCTTCTGCGAGCGGAGCCTCTCACAGCGGCTGGACTCGTTTTGTGCATAGGCCGTCAGGGAACGCTCAACGTGGACGACACAGGGACACACGGACATGGAGACCACGAGGACACACGGGGACACACGGACATGGAGACACGAGGACACACGGGGACACACGGACATGGAGACACGAGGACACACGGGGACACACGGACATGGAGACCACGAGGACACACGGGGACACACGGACATGGAGACACGGGGACACACGGACATGGAGACACGGGGACACAGGGACACATGGACATGGAGACACGAGGACACACGGACATGGAGATACGGGGACACACGGACATGGAGACACGAGGACACACGGGGACACACGGACATGGAGACACGAGGACACACGGGGACACACGGACATGGAGACACGGGGACACACGGACATGGAGACACGAGGACACACGGGGACACAGGGACATGGAGACACGAGGACACACGGGGACACACGGACATGGAGACACGGGGACACACGGGGACACACAGGAACACACGGCCACGGAGACACAGGGACATACCGGGACACGCGGAGATGGGGACCCACGGGGACAAAAGGACATGGGGAGACACGGTGACACAGTGACACAGTGACAGAGTGACACTGGGACACAGTGACACAGTGACAGAGTGACACAGTGACAGAGTGACACGGGAACAGAGTGACACGGGGACACAATGACAGAGTGACACAGTGACAGAGTGACACAGTGACACAGTGACACGGGGACACAGTGACACGGGGACACAGTGACACAGTGACATGGGGACACAGTGACACAGAGACAGAGTGACACGGAGACAGAGTGACACAGTCACAGAGTGACACAGTGACACAGTGACAGAGTGACAAGGGGACATAGTGACACAGTGACAGAGTGACACAGTGACAGAGTGACACGGGGACACAGTGACACAGTGACAGAGTGACACAGGGACAGAGTGACAGAGTGACACGGGGACACAGTGACACAGTGACAGAGTGACAAGGGGACACAGTGACACAGTGACAGAGTGACAGAGTGACACAGTGACAGAGTGACACAGTGAGAGCATGACAAGGGGACACAGTGACAGAGTGACACAGTGACAGAGTGACACAGTGACAGAGTGACACAGTGACAGAGTGACAAGGGGACACAGTGACACAGTGACACAGTGACAGTGACAAGGGGACACAGTGACAGAGTGACACAGTGACACGGTGACAGAGTGACACAGTGACAGAGTGACACAGTGACAAAGTGACACAGTGACAGAGTGACACAGTAACACAGTGACACAGTGATAAGGGCACACATTGACAGAGTGACACAGTGACAAGGGGACACAGTGACACAGTGACAGAGTGACACAGTGACACAGTGACAGAGTGACACAGTGACAGAGTGACACAGTGACACGGAGACACAGTGACACAGTGACAGAGTGACACAGTGATAGAGTGACACAGTGACAGAATCACAGAGTGACACAGTGACAGAGTGACACGGGAACACAGTGACAGAGTGACACAGTGACACAGTGACAGTGACCGAGTGACACAGTGACAGAGTGACACGGGGACACAGTGACATAGTGAGAGAGTGACACAGTGACAGAGTGACACGGGGATGCAGTGACACAGTGACACGGTGACAAGGGGACACAGTGACACAGTGACAGAGTGACACAGTGATAGAGTGACACAGTGACAGAGTCACAGAGTGACACAGTGACAGAGTGACACGGGAACACAGTGACACAGTGACAGAGTGACACAGTGACACAGTGACAGTGACAGAGTGACACAGTGACAGAGTGACACGGGGACACAGTGACACAGTGACACGGTGACAAGGGGACACAGTGACACAGTGACAAGAGGACACAGTGACAGTGACACGGGGACACAGTGACAGAGTGACACAGTGACAGAGTGACACAGTGACACAGTAACACAGTGACACAGTGACAAAGGGACACAGTGACAGAGTGACACAGTGACAGAGTGACACAGTGAGACAGTAACACAGTGACAAAGGGACACAGTGACAGAGTGACACAGTGACAGAGTGACACAGTGACACAGTGACAGAGTAACAGAGTGACACGGAGACACAGTGACACAGTGACAGTAGTGACAGAGTGACAAGGGGACACAGTGACACACTGAAACAGTGACACAGTGACAGAGTGACACAGTGATACAGTGGCAGAGTGACACAGTGACAGAGTGACACAGTGACACAGTGACAAGGGGACACAGTGATACAGTGACACAGTGACACAGTAACACAGTGACACAGTGACAAAGGGACACAGTGACAGAGTGACACAGTGACAGAGTGACACAGTGACACAGTGACAGAGTGACACGGAGACACAGTGACACGGAGACACAGTGACACAGTGACAGTAGTGACAGAGTGACAAGGGGACACAGTGACACAGTGAAACAGTAACACAGTGACACAGTGACAGAGTGACACAATGACACAGTGACACAGTGGCAGAGTGACACAGTGACAGAGTGACACGGGTACACAGTGACACAGTAACACAGTGACAAGGGGACACAGTGATACAGTGACACAGTGACACAGTAACACAGTGACACAGTGACACGGTGACAGTGACACAGTGACAGAGTGACACAGTAACACAGTGACACAGTAACACAGTGACACAGTGACAAGGGGACACAGTGACAGAGTGACAAAGTGACACAGTAACACAGTGACACAGTAACACAGTGACACAGTGACACGGGGACACAGTGACAGAGTGACACAGTGACATAGTAACACAGTGACACAGTAACACAGTGACAAGGGGACACAGTGACAGTGACACAGTGACACAGTAACACAGTGACACAGTAACACAGTGACACAGTGACACAGTGACACGGGGACACAGTGACAGAGTGACACAGTGACACAGTGACAGAGTGACACAGTGACAGAGTGACACGGGGACACAGTGACAGAGTGATACGGAGACACAGTGACACAGTGACACGGGGACACAGTGACAGAGTGACACGGAGACACAGTGACACAGTGACACAGTGACACAGGGACACAGTGACAAGGGGACACAGTGACACAGTAACACAGTGACACAGTGACAAAGGGACACAGTGATAGAGTAACACAGTGACACGGGGACACAGTGACACGGGGACACAGTGACAGAGTGACACGGGGACACAGTGACAGAGTGACATGGGGACACAGTGACAGAGTGACACGGGGACACAATGACACAGTGACAGAGTGACACAGTGACACAGTGACAGAGTGACACAGTGACAGAGTGACACAGTGACACAGTGACACGGGGACACAGTGACAGAGTGACACAGTGACACGGGGACACAGTGACAGAGTGACACGGGGACACAGTGACACAGTGACATAGTGACACGGGGACACAGTGACAGAGTGACACAGTGACACAGTGACAGAGTGACACAATGACACAGTGACACGGGGACACAGTGACACAGTAACACAGTGACACAGTGACAAAGGGACACAGTGACAGAGTGACACAGTGACAGAGTGACACAGTGACACAGTGACAGAGTGACACGGAGACACAGTGACACGGAGACACAGTGACACAGTAACACAGTGACACAGTGACACGGTGACAGTGACACAGTGACAGAGTGACACAGTAACACAGTGACACAGTAACACAGTGACACAGTGACAAGGGGAGACAGTGACAGAGTGACACAGTGACACAGTAACACAGTGACACAGTAACACAGTGACAAGGGGACACAGTGACAGTGACACAGTGACACAGTAACACAGTGACACAGTAACACAGTGACACAGTGACACAGTGACACGGGGACACAGTGACAGAGTGACACAGTGACACAGTAACACAGTATCACAGTGACACAGTGACAAGGGGACACAGTGACAGAGTGACAGAGTGACACAGTGACAGAGTGACACAGTGACAGAGTGACACAGTGACAGAGTGACAAAGGGACACAGTGACAGAGTGACACAGTGACACAGTGACAGAGTGACACAGTGACACGGGGACACAGTGACAGAGTGACACAGTGACACAGTAACACAGTGACACAGTAACACAGTGACAAGGGGACACAGTGACACAGTGACACAGTAACACAGTGACACAGTAACACAGTGACACAGCGACACAGTGACACGGGGACACAGCGACAGAGTGACACAGTGACACAGTAACACAGTGACACAGTAACACAATATCACAGTGACACAGTGACAAGGGGACACAGTGACAGAGTGACAGAGTGACACAGTGACAGAGTGACACAGTGACAGAGTGACACAGTGACAGAGTGACACAGTGACAGAATGACAAAGGGACACAGTGACAGAGTGACACAGTGACACAGTGACAGAGTGACACAGTGACACAGTGACAGAGTGACACAGTGACAGAGTGACACGGGGACACAGTGACAGAGTGATACGGAGACACAGTGACACAGTGACACGGGGACACAGTGACAGAGTGACACGGAGACACAGTGACACAGTGACACAGGGACACAGTGACAAGGGGACACAGTGACACAGTAACACAGTGACACAGTGACAAAGGGACACAGTGACAGAGTGACACAGTGACACGGGGACACAGTGACACGGGGACACAGTGACAGAGTGACACGGGGACACAGTGACAGAGTGACATGGGGACACAGTGACAGAGTGACACGGGGACACAATGACACAGTGACAGAGTGACACAGTGACACAGTGACAGAGTGACACAGTGACAGAGTGACACAGTGACACAGTGACACGGGGACACAGTGACAGAGTGACACAGTGACACGGGGACACAGTGACAGAGTGACACGGGGACACAGTGACACAGTGACATAGTGACACGGGGACACAATTACACAGTGACAGAGTGACACAGTGACACAGTAACACAGTGACAGAGTGACACGGGGACACAATGACACAGTGACAGAGTGACACAGCGACAGAGT